AAGCCGACGTCACACTGGCAGCCCTCAGCACACCCATCTGGGCACTGCACAGGGGCACTGAGAGCCGCGCAGCCCAGGGAGCAGGTGTCCGCGCAGAGCTCATAGTGGCTGTTCGCTGGGCACTTTATGGCTGCAAGGAGGGGGTGCCCATCAGAGCCCTGGGGAGGGAGGGGCTGCAAGGCCCAGGGTCTACCCTTCTGTGCTTCAACCTCTCCCCTCCCTGCCCCTCTGGCTCTCCCTCACTCACGACAGAAAGTTTCCGTCCTCCAGGGCTTCACGTGGCCTCCAGCCGCCTGGCAAGCACTCACATAGGCATGGATGTTGCTGCAGAGAATGCTCAGGTTCCCACCACCCAGGCAGAGATCAAAGACGCAATCTTGCAAGGGACCCTGGGGATCCACCAGCTTGTGGCAGGAGGCCAGCGGCCCTGTGGGGCTGGAGAGGAGCCCACAGAACTCCTCCTTCTGATACTTCTTCTCCTGCTCGGGAGGACACTTGCTGGTGTCGCAGCCCTCGCTCCCTGGCGGGCAGGTGGGTGGCGGCAGGCAGGGAGAGCCAGGTACCGCCTCCTCCCAGGAGTTGCCGAAGTCATTGGCGTTGCCTGCCTGTGAGCCGTTGGGCTTCTGGAAGTCATCCTTGGGGTCACCGTTGTAGTTCCCACACAGGCCACACATCTGCTGGTAGTAGTTTCCGGGGGTGGTGACCCGCACATAGTACACAAGGTCGTAGGCCACACGCAGGCCGAAGTCGGTCTCAATCACAACGTCTGAACCATGCTGGGAGGCTCGGATCTGGCCGTTGGCCAGCACCACGGGCAGCTTCATGTCCACACCGTTCACCTGGGAGGCGAGAGAGTCAGGCCACGCTTCAGAAAATAAACTTTGAGTGGGGGTCGGACCCTAGTTCAAGCCCATGCCTGATGCTGAAGATCTGTGTGTCCTCACCTCTTAGGTCTTCACTTTTTGTATCTCTAAAACTGGTAGAATAATAGGGCCTCATAGTGGATTGAATGGTGGTCCATAAAATGCATATTCACCCAGAATCCCATAATGTGAGCTTACTTGGAATAAAGTTCTTTGCAGATGGATTCAGGGAAATAACGTCAACATGAGATTGTCCTGGATTAAGCTGGGCCCTAAATCCAATGACAAGTGTCCTTATAAGAGCCAGAGAGAAACAGACACAGACACACAGGAAAAGGTCACATGAAGATGAAGGCACAGATTAGAATGGTGTTGTCACAAGCCCAGAGAACCTGGAGCCTCCAGAGCTGGAAACGGAAAGCAAGATCCCCCAACCAGTGCCTTTGGAGGCGGCGCAGCTCTGCCGACACCCTGATGTTGAACTTCTGGCATCCAGGACTGTGGGAAAGTACATTGTATTGTTTTAAGCCACCAAGCTCGTGATAATTTGTTATGGCACCACGGGAAATGAACACAGGTCTCAATGAAGTAATAAGCCTCCAGCTATCCTTTATGTATCACTTGAGGCAGGCATTAATAAGCAATGATCGCCCCCAGAGCCACTTGCCTGAGTTCAAACAGTTTCCCCCTTACCCTCTTTATGACCTTGGGCAAGTGAGTCACCTCTCCCTGTTTCTGTTTCCTCATCTCTCAGGTGGGAATAAGGTGTTTACCCCATGGAACTGTTGTCAGGATCAGATAAATTAATGTCTGTAAAGTGTTGAGAAACAGGCTGGCATAGCATGCATGCTTCAGGAGCATCTGCCGTCACTAGCAGCTATGAATGGAGGTTTTTCTTCTGAAGAGTAAACGGACACCACAGGTTTTTGCTTTAAAGCATCAGCGGGTGGAAAGTTAGACTAAATTCTTGGGGAAATGAACTCAAACCTATGAGCTGAGGACCAGTGGTTTCAGTTTAAGATTACTAGGCACCAACAAAGCCTCATAAATCCACCCCTGGACGGGGCACAGTGGCTCGTGTCTATAATCTCAGCACTTTGAGAGGTCAAGGTGGGAAGATCACTTGAGCCCCGGAGTTCAAGGTCAGCCTCAGTAAAATATGGAGATCTTGTCTCCACAAAATAAAAAAAATAAAAAAAAATTGGTCAGGAGCAGTGGTTCACAGCTGTAATTCCAGCACTTTGGGAGGCCAAGGTGGGAGGGTCTCCTGAGCCCAGGAGTTCGAGACCAGCCTTGGCAACATAGCAAGACCCCTCTCTATACAAAAAAAATTTGGCCAGGCATGGTGGTTCACACCTGTACTGCCAGCATTTTGGGAGGCCAAGGTGGGTGGATCCCGAGGTCAGGAGATTGAGACCATCGTGGGCAACATGGTAAAACCCCCATCTCTACTAAAAATACAAAAAAGTAGCTGGGCATGGTGGCCGGCGCTTGTAGCTGAGACAGGAGAATCACTTAAAACTAAGAGGAAGAAGTTGCAGCAAGTCAAGATTGCGTCCTGCACTCTAGCCTGGG